GGGGGGGGGGGCAGCAGGTCAAGCAGCAGGAATGCTATTGGCGGCCCTCTTGGTCAGGCCAGGAGCCTGCTCCTCCCGGAGCAGCGGACGCGGGCGTCACCACCACTTCATCACAGCAGCCGACCCTATGGTCGATAGGAGAGAGAAAATGACTTTTAGTTTTAATTGAACATCCCCTCCATGGCCTGGCCATCCCCCCTAGCGGGAACGAGCACAGGGAGGCGCGGAGGGTGGATGCAGTTCCGCCTTGAGCATTTGGGGCGCTGACCACGGCGCTCCACGGCGCTCCACGGCGCGCGGGGCATGGCGGCGGCAAACCGCCCCGCCAGCAGGAACTCGGCTCGTGCACCTCGCCAGCAGTTTCTGCGGTCACGGGGAGTCCGAGAAGTCAAAGAGGAAGAGGAGGGTGGGGAGGGCTAGGCAGGGCCGACCGGACCCCGCGCCTGCTTTTGGGTGCGGCGCTCCGGCTTTGTCGTGTGGCGGGGGGAGTAGCAGAACGCCGAACCCCATCGACGGCTGAGGCAGTTTCATTCATTTGGCGTTTACCCGGTCTTCGGCCCCAATGTATAGGATTCCTGCTTGCTCCCCTCCCCTCCCCTCTCCTCCCCGGTTGCGTGCTCCCAAGAGTTTTCCAATTTGCGGCGCTCCGTCGCGCCCCGCGGCGCCCCCCGCCACCCTGACGGCCACTCCGCGCGCCGCAGGGAAGTCGGCCGGATGATAAACCCCCGGGGCCCGTCCGCTCTCCCCGACACGCCCTCTCCCTCTTTTATTTTTAATGAATTTGGTCGTGTGATCCTAATTAAAAGTTTGTTTTTTTCGGTCGTGCCAGACAGCGGCAACCAACCAACCCCTTCCTCGTATACCACTAGAGGGTGCGCTGTAGCCTCCGTGCGGAAGAGAAACACGCATCCCTCATATACTCCTGGCAAGGCCCTTAAAACTCCAGCCCGCACTGGATTTGCGAAAACTCCATCAATGGAATGTGTTTTTTTCCCCTTCTTGTCTGACTGAAGCCAGGGCCGGGCGGGGGAGCGTCCTCGCGGAGGTGAACGCCCACGCCACGCGGTGACAGGTCGGGCCGGGAGTGGCGCTCGCTGATCTCTGTGATTATCGGCTCCGATTGGAGCGGCTGTTCGGTTCGACCTCGGACTTTCAGCTGCAGATGGGCAGCTGAATGTCGCACCTGTGTGGGCCACTCCCTCCACCCCTTCCTGTTCCTTACACAGAAGAGAAAATGCGCTTATTGTCTTTACTCCGTCAACGTTAGGTGGAAGAGAGCGCCAGGAGATGGTGCTGTCTTTGGCTGTCTTCATTTTGTATAAAATCACCCTCTTCTTTTCGCTTCTCTCTCTTTTTTGGGGGGGTTGGGGGTTGGGGGGCCAATCCGCTGTCCAATTCTCCCCCCCCCCCCCTTTCCCTCTCCCTCTTTCTCGCATTGTTCTGGACTGCTCCTGCCTGAGACTCGCCCAGTGCCGCATATCCTAAGGGAACCTTCGAGGGGAAGCTTGCTATGTTGCTATCGCTCTGTGATGAGTAAAGTTTTCTCAAGCCTTTAAGGGAAACTGGGAGCCGGAGATATTCTTTGGCTCATATAGCGATGATTACTCTGCTGTTCCAGCAGCAGCCGCCGGACTTTACACATTTTATTACTTCTTTGATGATGCTCGTTGTTTCTTGTCGAAATAATTTATTCTCGTGAAATGAAAGGGAGCAGGGCACTGCACCCATACCTCGTACTGGACCGGACAACACTCACACCTACACAACACAAACACGCACATACACTTACCACCCCCTATCAGCAGTGGCAGGAGTATCAGTCGTCGACTTTTTCGTAGCAGGGGGTGGGGGGTCTTCATTTCCTGCCATCTACCCCCCCCCCCCCCGGTTATC